TATTTTGTCTGTGTTGTGGTCTGAAGCTCAGTGAAATCAGGCATTGGTTCGAGAGGCAGGGTTCACATTCAGTTGGTTGGACTGGATCAGAGAGCTCCCCAGCAAACTCAAGAAAAAGAGGCCTCTGGCGAAGAGGAGGAGGGGCTGGAAGTTTGTGTGGGCTCTTTCAAGCTGGGAAGCAGATGGTGACAGTGTGTGTTACTGTTGTTGTGATTTGTCTCAGGTTTATCCTTATATTTCCCCTGACTTTTATTATATAATAAACAGCAGAAGAAAACACATTAATATGTTAGTGAACCATCCCTAAGCTGTGAGCCCCGATAGAGTAAAGCTACTGCCCAATGAAATGATACAAATGGATCTTTGGAACTGCCCTTAGGATAGCACTGCTGTGCTCCTGAGACATGACTTCTCTAGCCTCTGCATTGATACCCGTCAGCAAGAGGACTTTGAGACTGGATTCAGTGGCTCTGGCTTCAGTGACTGTTGAACTTTTGGCACCATTGTTTAGCTCACACATGCCTGCCCATCATCACTACTGCTAGCTGGCACTTTCAAGGACCTTCTGGACCTCCACCAGTGCCATCCTTCTGGCTTGCTGCAGCTGAAGGACTTCACTGCGGTCATGGGTTGAGCCTGCAATGCTTCAGAAGCATCCTCACCAGAGAAGATTCCCCAGCGGAACCCTGCAGCAGCATTTTCTGACCATCTAAGTGTTCCCTGCTTGGCGGGATATATGTTTAGCTTTTATGTTGTAATGAATGCTTATGTGAATAAAACCAGCATATTTGAAAGACAAATCTTGTGTGATATTCTAACTGCAGAGAACCTCACAGCCCACTGGCTGTACTGTCTATACTAATCCTCCTCCTTGTGCTATACATAGTCAGTTGGATGAATTTCCCAGGAGCTTCATAGGTGTCCTCTATCAGAGTGAGCACACAGCCCATCCCATTCCAGCTTTTTTTTGTATGCATGTCTGGCCGGGTGTCCAGGATCAAGGCATGCAGGACAAAGCATCTAGCCTAGCTCCTGTAACTCTCCATGCTTCCATAGTTTTGCTAGGCTACTAAACTGCTTCAGATCCTTCTTTGGGGTGCAGGTGCTGACTCCAGAAGCAGAAGGTAGGCATTCTGGGAAGTCAGGGGATTTGCCTCTGTTCTGTAAGGTGGGGTGAAAGGACCTCAGAGAAGAGGTCCAGAACCTGGCATTCACTTCCCCTTTCTGGGCCTCAGTAAATTAGGCCCAGAGAGCTGTTGCCTCCCAGGGTAGATGGAGGATCCAGTTTGATATGGGAGGCTGCTGTGAGCTGTGAATGCCTGTCTACAGGTGAAGGAGCCTTAGTCGTCATGTGAAGGAGCCTCCATGTCTACACAGGGTGGAGGGGTCCTTGTGTTCAGTCACTGAGAAACACAGGAGCACCTGCCTGCGCACTGACAAACCAGCAGGCAGTTGGCTAAACAATCTGGGAGGCAACTCTGACTTGGTCCAAGACCAAGACAGAAACAACCTGCAAAGCTGGACTCCCAGGAAAGTCCACACCCTGGGGGAGATAGTGTTGGCAAGTGTGGGGACAGTTAGGGAGTCTGAGAGGCTTCCTCTGCTAGGCAAGCGGCTGACGGGAGCAGGTCAGTGGTGATTTAGTAGGAGAGTGTGTGGCAAGAAGAGGGAGGAAGGCCTGTCTTCAGGGCAAGATGGGACTCCCCACCGTTGCCAAGGCTCAGTACTACTTTTGGAAGAAGGTTCCCCAACCAGGCAAATCCTGTTTGCTTCCTTGAGGGACCTCTAGGCCTCAAGGCCCTGTGTGTGTGTGTTCTGGGTGGGATCTAGGGAGATCTGTGTGGTGGGAGACCTGGTCTGAGCTGTGGGCACGCTCCCACCAGCCAGGTAGCCTCCCAGAATTATTCTAGGCGT